TTAAAATAAATAACTTATTTTAAAAATCAATTTGATAAATTTATAGCCATACCTCTAGACACATAACACATAGAGACATTGAATGAAAGTTCATTTAAAAAGCTAGGTTTGTTTAACTAGTAGGGAGAACAATGAGTTATTATTCTCCATCTTCACTAATCTAAAAGAAAAGATTTAGTTCTTTTAAGTTACTAAATACCTACTCACAGGGATCCCTATTGTAATATAGACACCTTAAAAGATTCACTGGAGTATACTTGCTAAAAATGGACTATAAGTGAATGTTAAGGAAATATTTTCTTTCTAAAGAGGAGATTTTGTCCTAAATAAAGTAGCCTTACTTTCTTTGCAACCCAAATCACCAAATAATAGACATTTCTATTTTCACTTCATGAATTCAGCATAATTAAGCTAAGATGTAGCAAGCCTTGGGAATTTTTTTTTCCTTAAGAGTTACATAAAAACACATTTCCACATTAGAGTAAAGGAGACAGTGCTAGCTATCTATTATCTATTATATAAAGGACTGACTGCTGACTTTAGCCCTTATTCTTACAATTCCCTGAAATTTTAAAAGCTATGCATTATGGTCAGCCATCAAATTTAAAGGCTAGGATTCTCTCCATTCTGCAAAACTACAAAAAAGGTGAATACAAAGCTTCATGGCTGTTTCAATTCTAAACTCTCTAAAATAAAATTTAAATCTGTTGAATCATTCTTATTGTGGTTATTTTAATTTTTTCCATTTTCTTCATTCTACTGTTAAAGTTTATTATTTACAAAATTTTGTGGTAAATATGTCTCCTTTATAGTAAACCATCCTCTCCCATCTGTCCAGATTTTTATGGCTGACGGAAAAAAATCTCATTGCCTCACTGGAATTTTAATTTCTTGCATAAATATCTTATATAGATATTTTGTTATCTAAAGATAAATTGCAAAACTCTAAGTAATGGAAACTGTAGAAATCACTGCACTCTCACCGGGATCCCGCAAAACACTGGGAAATTGGCAAGTGATGGTTTCCTAAAGTCAGGCAGAAAATGTAGAAATGAGGCAGTGATTACTGGCACACTGATTATCATCAGCAACTCCAAAGTGAATGGAGATAATATTTATTACTTCTGTTTCCAAATTTGTTCTTTAAAAAAAATGAAAGAAAGATATTCCCTCTACACTTCCAAAGGATCCCCTGTAGGTAAAGTCAAATTCATTCTACTGGGCATGGTGAGTTAATTATTAGTTCACCCTCACAACTAGTTGTAACAATCAAAAACTTTATAATCTAGAGGGATTACTGTGGAACATCTATACAGAGAATCAATGAACAGGCTTTAGGAAATATGTGTTTTCCCTTTCTTTTTTCTTTTAATGATGCCATCATCCAGATACCTACTCTACATGTTCCTTTGAAAGTATCAAAGGTAACTTAGAGTCACTATGTCCAAATTTGAGGTTAGGATCTTCTGTAACCTTACACCGAAACATAATTACCCTCCAATGTTCTCCATCTCAAGGAGTAACACCACTAAACAATTAGTCATGCAAATCATAAAATAGAGAAGTTCTTGACACTGAACTCCCCCTTTGATTCGATGCATTAGCCTTTGCCAAGTTATAAATTTCATCTCCTAAAGTCTCTCATATTCATCCACTTCTCATGTTGTCTGTAGCTACATTCACCTCTTGCAAGAATTACTAAAATAACTTCCTAACTAACCCATCTGCATCCACTAATACACTCATCCAATTCATTCTCCACACTGTCCCAAGACCAATCTTATGAAATGTAAAACTTATGTCACTACCCATGCTCCATTCCTACTACTGTCATGGCCTGAATGAATTCTGTCCCCTAAAAAACATAAGTAAGCACCGTAAGCACCATAAGGCCATTAGGTGGATCCTAATCCAATCTGACTGGTGTCTTTATAAGAAGAGGACATATGAAGACACAGTTACTAGCTATGCCCACACACAAAGGAAAGACCTCATGAGGACAGTGAAATGTCAGTCATTGGCAAGCCAAGTAGAAAAGCCTCAGCAGAAATCACTGAATCGTTGTCAACACCTTGATCTTGGACCTCCAGCTTCTAGAACTGTGAAAAGATAAATTTCTGTTGTTTTAACCGTCTAGTCTGTGATACTAATTATGGCAGCCATGGTAAACTAATATATCCACCCATCCCACCTCCACTTAAAACTTGTAAATTTTTTTCCATTGCACTTAAACCAAAGACCAAATATTTTAAGCTGGTTATCCTTTATCCTATTTCATAATACAGATACAATATTTAACTACATACAGTTTTATTTTTTCATTTACATTGAGTAGATGTACTGGTTGTAGCAACCCTAGCTACTTTAAGAAGTAGAATGGGTAAACCTGTATTTATATACTGAGCTATACTTAACAATGTACTTCCAAGTACTCTATCAAATAGTACTCCAAAGAATGAGACAGGTGTGATTTCTTAAGTATACAATTCAACAGTGTTAATATATTTATAGAGCTGGGCAACCATCACCACAGTCTAACTTCAGAACATGACTAAAAACAGTCACACATTTTTCCCTCCCTCCATCATGGGAAGCCACTAATCACTTTCTTTCTCTGTAGATTTGCCTATTCTGGATATTTCACACAAATGGTATCATATACTATGTAGTTTTAATGACTTCTTTCATTAACATAATATTTTTAATGTTCATTTATATTGTAGCAAGTAACAGAACTTCATCCCTTTCTATTGCTGAGTAATATTCCATTGTATGGCTATAACGCATTTGTTTATCTATTCATCAGTTGATGGACATAGGTTGTTTCCACTTTCCTGCTGTTATGAATAATGCTACTATAAACATTCATGTATAAGGGTGTTTTTGTTTATTTGGACATACATTTTAATTTATTTTGGTGCTATTGAATATAAGTTTCCTTAATTTCTAAGAAATTTTTTCATTGCTAATTGCTAGTGCATAGAAATATAGTTGATATGTGTATTGATCTTGTATCCTGCAACAGTGCTAAATTTGTTTATAAGTTCTATTTGTTCTTTAGTAGATTCCTTAGGATTTTCTATATAAAATATCATATTATCTGTAAATATAGTTTTATTTCTTTCTTTCCAGTCTGG